AATATTAAGTTCGCAGCGGTGAAGGAAACCAAGCTGAATGAAAATTGCAGCCTACATTATGTGTATATCCCGAAAATTATGTGTATATCCCGCCGATTAATAGCTTTGAACCGCGTTATTTGCCAGATTTTATCCCATGGTTGGTAGGCAATAACCGCCTGGTACTAGGGGATTTCAATGCCCACCATGATTTGTGGAATTCCGCCCTAGGTAATGACCAGAGGGGATCAGCGCTGGCTGAGCAGATTGACTGCTCCACATTCTGCACGGTTAACGAGGATGCCCCACCCGAATAAGAGGAGAGTGTCACAGTTCACCAGTGTCACAGTTCACCAGACATAGTGTTAATATAAATCGGACCTAGTGGGCTTCAGTTCAAACACATAAATTTGAACTGACGGTCCATTAGTAAAATTGTTGTTTACGACGATTCATGAAGAAAACAAACATTGTGGACCTCAAGCGCTGTTAAACACAATAAGACAACGATTTTGGCCAATCAGAAGGAAAATAACTGCCAGATCAACGATTCAAAAATGTATAAGGTGCACCAGAGCACGACTCCAGCTTTATCAACAAATAATGGGACAGCTGCCAGCAACAAGAGTAACTCCCGCAAGGCCATTTATAAACTCTGGAGTTGACTATCGTGGGCCATTTTGGATACATTACAAAGTGAGGGGTAAGCGACCAACCAAGGCTTATGTAGCTGTCTTCTGCTGATTTGCGACAAAAGCAGTTCACCTAGAACTTGTGTCTGATTTATCCACAGAAGCTTTTATTGGCGCACTTAAACGTTTCATTGCGCGGCGTGGACACTGCCAAAACATATATTGCGACAATGCTACGAACTTCGTTGGAGCCAAGAATAATTTAGCGGAGCTATCTGAAAATATATATTCGGATAAAGCGCAAGAATCAATTATTTCAACCTCAAACGCTAAAGGCATTCACATTCATTTCATACCACCAAGAGCACCGCATTTCGGAGGTTTATGGGAAGCAGCAGTGAAGTCCGCGAAACGCCTCTTGGTACGTAGCGTGTCAACGGAAAACCTAACACATGAGGAATTGAAACGATCATAATCGAGATAGAAGCAATCCTAAATTCCCGGCCGCTCACGCCTTTGTCAAACGATCCTGATTGTCTTGAAGCATTGACACCAGAACACTTTTTAATCGGGGAGGCTTTAACTGCACAAGTAGACAGCAGAGCAGAATCTGTTAAGACATCCAGCACATCTCATTGGAAGCTGCTCTCACATATCAAGCAGCAGTTCTGGAGAAGATGGTCGGATGAATACCTCCACGAACTGCAACAACGGAACAAATGGAGGAGAAAGATGAACAATCTTCGGAAAGGTGATATGGTCATCATCAAGGAAGATAATTTACCACCGATGAAGTGGCCATTGGGAAGAATTCTCAATGTGTTCGCTGGTGACGATGGAGCTGTACGAGTTGCTGATGTGAAAACTTCAACTGGAGTATACAAACGGGCCATTCAGAGGCTGGCTCCACTGTTTCCAGAGGAGCATAGTGAATTATCCACAGACCAGACAACGCAGGGTGACATCGGCTCTTCTAGGCAAGAGGAAGATGGGAAAGATACCATCCCGAGGAAAAGAATGAAGATCGCAAATTGCCCCATAATGCTATCAGTAATATTAGCCTTGCTTCTAATGCCTGTGGTCCTATGCGACATGCTGAAAATAACGCAATTTCACAATGATCCGGGATTATATTTTGAAGGCTTGGGAACAGTGAAATTTAACACGGCAGAATGGAAAATGTTGGTGTATTGCGATTTAACGCCTTTTGCATCAGAAATAAAGTAGCTTTCAACCGGTTTACAATCGCTGCAGCAGATGTGTCCTGTAATTCAGCAACACAAGATGTGTGACATGTTCGTGAGCAATCTCAAACACATTAAAAATGAACTACTACAGGAAAAGGAGTTATTTACCAACAGACGGTTTAAAAGATCTCCATTCAATATAGTCGGCAATATTGCGCGTTCACTTTTTGGTGTCCTTGATGCTGATTATGCGGAAGAAATGTCTAAAACCATTAGCAAGGCAAGAATCGAGCACGAGCACATGACAAGTCCGTTGAAAGCCCAAACTTCAATAGTTGACTCTACCATTAATGTCATAAAACAAGATGAGATCGGCAATCAACAAAAGATACAAGAGATCTCAGAAATGGTTGAGAAATTAAATAATGATGTGGCTAAAGAGTCTTCCCAGTTAAAAAACTCGCAGCTTGTCGGACTCTTGTCAACGTACCTGGTATTCTCCGCAATGAACCTGCACAGAGTAGAGTCGGAAATCATTAGTGTACTTACCGATACACATAATGGCAAAATAAGTCCACTTTTACTGTCTCCTCATCAATTGAGAGAAGAAAGTAACATAATCAAGGCTAATCTTCCAATTTCGCATGCTTTACCAACGGACGATGAGAACTTGATTGAGCTCTATAAACTTATGAGCGTCAAGGGTGCAGTGACAAAGCATGAAGTCATCTTCGAGGTCAAGATACCCTTAGTCAATCAACAGTTTTTTGAATTATTCAAGGTAGTACCCGTTCCAACAATAAGGTCCAACTCCGGTCCAAACTCCGAAGGAACGCAGTCGCCAACCCCTGTGAAGTCAATATCTTTAATAATCATTCAACTGCCAATTGCAATCTCAACAAGATTATTGGATCTACAGTTTGGACCCAATTGCATCATCAAAATAGATGGATCTTCGCTACTACTGTCGATGTTGAATCTTCTATCGTATGCGGTACGGAGACAAATCTTATCATCTTGTAGTAGTTCATTTTTAATGTGTTTGAGATTGCTCACGAACATGTCACACATCTTGTGTTGCTGAATTACAGGACACATCTGCTGCAGCGATTGTAAACCGGTTGAAAGCGACTTTATTTCTGATGCAAAAGGCGTTAAATCGCAATACACCAACATTTTCCATTCTGCCGTGTTAAGTTTCACTGTTCCCAAGCCTTCAAAATATAATCCCGGATCATTGTGAAATTGCGTTATTTTCAGCATGTCGCATAGGACCACAGGCATTAGAAGCAAGGCTAATATTACTGATAGCATTATGGGGCAATTTGCGATCTTCATTCTTTTCCTCGGGATGGTATCTTTCCCATCTTCCTCTTGCCTAGAAGAGCCGATGTCACCCTGCGTTGTCTGGTCTGTGGATAATTCACTATGCTCCTCTGGAAACAGTGGAGCCAGCCTCTGAATGGCCCGTTTGTATACTCCAGTTGAAGTTTTCACATCAGCAACTCGTACAGCTCCATCGTCACCAGCGAACACATTGAGAATTCTTCCCAATGGCCACTTCATCGGTGGTAAATTATCTTCCTTGATGATGACCATATCACCTTTCCGAAGATTGTTCATCTTTCTCCTCCATTTGTTCCGTTGTTGCAGTTCGTGGAGGTATTCATCCGACCATCTTCTCCAGAACTGCTGCTTGATATGTGAGAGCAGCTTCCAATGAGATGTGCTGGATGTCTTAACAGATTCTGCTCTGCTGTCTACTTGTGCAGTTAAAGCCTCCCCGATTAAAAAGTGTTCTGGTGTCAATGCTTCAAGACAATCAGGATCGTTTGACAAAGGCGTGAGCGGCCGGGAATTTAGGATTGCTTCTATCTCGATTATGATCGTTTCAATTCCTCATGTGTTAGGTTTTCCGTTGACACGCTACGTACCAAGAGGCGTTTCGCGGACTTCACTGCTGCTTCCCATAAACCTCCGAAATGCGGTGCTCTTGGTGGTATGAAATGAATGTGAATGCCTTTAGCGTTTGAGGTTGAAATAATTGATTCTTGCGCTTTATCCGAATATATATTTTCAGATAGCTCCGCTAAATTATTCTTGGCTCCAACGAAGTTCGTAGCATTGTCGCAATATATGTTTTGGCAGTGTCCACGCCGCGCAATGAAACGTTTAAGTGCGCCAATAAAAGCTTCTGTGGATAAATCAGACACAAGTTCTAGGTGAACTGCCTTTGTCGCAAAGCAGCAGAAGACAGCTACATAAGCCTTGGTTGGTCGCTTACCCCTCACTTTGTAATGTATCCAAAATGGCCCACAATAGTCAACTCCAGAGTTTATAAATGGCCTTGCGGGAGTTACTCTTGTTGCTGGCAGCTGTCCCATTATTTGTTGATACAGCTGGGGTCGTGCTCTGGTGCACCTTATACATTTTTGAATCGTTGATCTGGCAGTTATTTTCCCTCTGATTGGCCAAAATCGTTGTCTTATTGTGTTTAACAGCGCTTGAGGTCCACAATGTTTGTTTTCTTCATGATTCGTCGTAAACAACAATTTTACTAATGGACCGTTATATGGCAATATTATTGGATGTTTTGCCTCCGGTTGAAGCATAGAATGTTCCAATCTTCCACCTACGCGAAGGACGCCGTCTTCATCCAAGTACGGCGACAGGCTGCATAGACAGCTGTGTTTGCTAATTTGCTTCTCAGCTTTCAACTCTTTTATTTCAGTTGCGAATTCTGCCGATTGTATAGCATGAGTAATTAACCAAAGGGAGTCATCTAACTCCTCAGGGTTAAGGGCCTTACTTCTGGGCCGCTGAGACCTTTGCAGGCCACAACTCCTCTTTTCCGTGAAGAAAAACTGGACCATGAAACCATAATCGACTCTTATATAGGTCTACTGGTTGCAGGCCTCGAGAAAGCATGTCGGCAGGATTCTCCTTTGACGGAACGTGCTTCCATTGCTCTGGTAATAACAATGTTTGAATGACTGACACCCTATTTGCCACAAATGTCTTATATAAGGTTGACTGGGATTTTATCCAGGCAAGGACAATTTCCGAGTCGGTCCATAGAAACATGGGGTGACTTTGAAGCTTTAAGTCAATCCTTACTCTATTACCCAGTTCAGCTGCTACCACTGCGGCACAAAGCTCTAGTCGAGGAAGTGTTTGCTGTTTCAACGGAGCAATTCTGGATTTAGCGCAGATCAGGCGTACAGCTAGGAGACCATCCTTTGTAACAAAGTGAATGTATACAGCAGCGCCAAACGCCTTCTCCGAAGCATCGGCAAACACACGTAATTGCACCTTTGCCTTTGCCAATATTTGCCTTCACGCAAAAACGGTCGGCCTGAGGCATCCAAAATAGTCCCAAAGTCTTTATCGTTTTGCTTTCATCAAAATCTAGATTGACTTCCCTATCACTATAAGGTATATCCTTTAGCAATCTTGGACTGTTTGACGACCATTTTCTTAAGTTGAAGCCGTGCTTTTTCAAAATGATTATCAATTCCTTTTGTGTCTCCATCGCTATGTTTAAGCTACCACCACCGAGACCATCGTCCATATAAAAGTTCTCTTTTAGCATTTCTGAACCAAGGGGATAGCGATCCAAGTTGTCGTCTGCGATTTTCTGTAGAAACTTTGTGGCAAGGTACGGTGCTGCACGAGTTCCATATGTAACAGTATTGAGCTTGTAATAGCTAACTGGGTGTGATGGATCTTCCCTCCAAATGATCAGTTGATATTTCTGATCATCGGGGTGAATTAAGATTTGTCTATACATTTTTTCAATGTCAGTTGTGAAGACAAACTTTGGTAATCGGAACCGTAGCAGGATAGAGAACAGTTCACTTTGCACAGTTGGTCCTGTGTACATTAAGTCATTTAACGAATGACCCGATGACGTTTTCGCGGATGCATCAAATACCACCCTTAATTTTGCCGTGGTACTATCTGGTTTAAGCACACAGTGATGCGGAATGAAATATTTAGGGTTCGACACTATATTCACGTCAATTTTCTGCATGTGTCCTAGCATTTCATATTCCTGCATGAACTTGATGTATTGCATGCGGATATCATCCTTCTGAAGAAGCCGACGTTCAAGACTCATGAACCGGTTATACGCCATCGCATGAGATTTTCCCAATGTTGTTGGAGATTCTTGGAAAGGAAGACTAACAATGAATCGACCGTTCTGATCCGTCTGGACATGCTGATTATAATGAGACTCGCACCGGGTTTCCAGCGGAGACATTACCCTTTCTGTTGATGCTCCTTCTTCGAGTTTCCATAACTTCTCAATTGCTTGTGTCAGTGAAGTTTCACTATCGAAAATTGCACATGTTAGCGCTGCTGATGTGACGTTCGTTGATGATTGTTCTATTAAGCCGCCTACAATCCAGCCAAGCGCAGTATTCTGCAGAATAGGTTGATTATTATTCAGTTTTATTGTACCCGGTTGCATTAGGCTGAAGTAAAACTCCTCCCCGAGTAGGATGTCAATTTTTCCTTGAATATTAAAATTTGGATCCGCCAATTTAATGTTCGTTGGAATCTGCCAGTTAGATATGTCCAAATCGTGATTCGGTTGTGCAGGTATAATCGTTGGTAAAACAAATGCTTTCAAATAAGATGAAAATCCAGAATTGTTAGACAACATTTGCATGTTCACACGGTGATAAGCCTTCTTCTGAATTTTTCCAACTCCGTCAATAGACAAAGAGGTCTCTGTTGTTGCAATTGATAACCTTTTAATCAGCCGTTCTGTAACAATATTTACTTGTGAACCGGAATCAAGCACAACTCTGAACTCGCCTGACATACCATTTGCAGCTTTTGTGGTGACTCTCGCAGTGGCAAGAATAACGTTCTTCTGATCTTCTGCTGATGCCGAAGAAATTACAGCAGTATTGACTGGTGTATGATTGCTACTTGTGGTTGACATTTGATTTAAGCCTGTTGATGATGATTGAGATCTCCTTGATAAATGTAACAACGTATTGTGTTTATTATTACATTTCTTGCAAATACCAGATGTGCAGTGTTTCGCTATATGATCAGCCTTAAAACAGTTCACGCACATTTTATGTTGTTGTACCCATTGGAGTCTTTAAGATTCCGACATCGCCAAGAATTGCTTACACTGATAAAGACGATGTTGACCATTTTTGCATAGTTTGCAATTACTGTGATTCGCCATTGATGTTATGGACGAAACAGCTTTGCTTGAACCTTTGTGAGCAGTTGCCACTTTCCCAATCGATTCCATTGACTCAAACTGCAATTCCAAAAATGCAAAGAGTTCTTTCATGGAAGGGACCTCCTTCGGTCTTTTTAACGATTGCATAAATCGTATGTACAACGCATGATCCAACTTATTCGTAATCAATTGGATCAATAGCGCGTCCCACGACGAAGTGTCAATATCCAGGTTGTTCAGGGCCAGCATACATTCCCTCGTCGTATCATGCAAAGCTTTGATAGAAGCGGTTGATGAGGTTCCTGTTGGCTGGTTCAGAATACGTTCTACCAATGTTGAAACAAGAACCCGTTTGTTATTGTACCGTTCTTGGAGCATCATCCATGCAGTTGCGTAGTTGTCCTCTGTCAAGGCTAAGTGGCTTATGAGTTTTCCAGCTTCGCCCGACAAATTTGTTTTTAAGTACCACATCTTTTGGATATTAGGAAGATGCTGCTTGTCCACCATCTCCAGAAAGAGTTCATAGAACTGACGCCACTTCAGACAATCCCCATTGAATTGAGGGAATGTTACCTTTGGTAGTGGAAGTGAGCTGTGTGCTACCAAGTCAGTTCCCAATTGAGGTGTGCTTGTTATATTGCCACCGCATTTCTCTTTCAGTATTGCCAGCCTTATCAAGTTGGTTTGAACCGCATCTTCTAGGCTATCGTAGTTGTCTTGATTCAGCCCGATTCTCGAAGGATCCTCGACCTGTTGCCAAATTTCATCGTACAGGCCTGTAATTTGACTCCACAGCCCTTTAATCGACTCTTCTTTTATCACATAGACTTGTTTTGACTGTCCCGTTTCTATATTTTCCATACTCTGCAGAAGGCGACCGAGGGCTGTCATTCTCGCCTTTACCCTTCGGGCCAGTCCCTCAACTTGAGCCGACGCAGGTTCCTTAACCTGGGCTGATGCTTGGGGTTCTGAATCATTTTCTGGCGATCTTGTCTTTGCGGGTTTATCTGGATTGACCTTGGCAGACTTCAGCTTCTCCAACTCCGCCTTTATATAGTCCACTGTTGCATTGAACTTTTCGCCTATGGCCTGGTGCAGATTCTCCGCTATATACGGATCATCCTCTGCCAATGATGGATCTTTGCGGATCTGGTTTTCTGCCGATTCAAACGTCTGCCAAAGCTGCTCTAGCTCCTTACGCTTGCCAATGTAGAATTCCTCAGTTCTTCTTTCAAGCGGTGCCTTCCTAATTGTCGCTATGAATTTTTCGAAATTACTGCCCCTTACTTCTTGTTGGACTATAAGGTCTTGAAGCGATGCCATTGTTGATATTTACATTTTTTCCAAAGAAATTTGTGTACAAGATGCGTGTGTATCACGTCTGACAAAACCGGATATATGTTGCCGAGTCCTTTACCACTTGTGGTGCAGAAGGCTGTGTTTAACGACACGTATCACGATCAACCTCTTTTACCACTTGTGGGGTAAAAGAATGTGTGTAAACGAACGCGTATTACGATTCAAATCCTTTACCACTTGTGGGGTGAAAGGAGGTGTGTTAACGAACGCGTATTACGATCAAAATCCTTTACCACTTGTGGGGCAAAAGGATGTGTGTAAACGATCACGTCGGGATCACCAAAAACGTTAATATAAATCGGACCTAGTGGGCCTCAGACCATCTCCCGATAATCGTCTCCAAAAGCAGGTCGCCCGAGTGAACGCTGCACTTTCCTTAACCATGGGAAAGCTCACTGGCCTGCTGGTCGAATACCCGAGATAAGACCTGCTGGTCGAATACCCGAGATAAGACCAAACTTCCCAGCAGAGGCAGCGGGATCAGTAAACGAGCGTGATGATCTCCGTCGTACCAACCCTACTAATCCTAGAATCAGTGATTTGACAGTGGAAGTCAACCGGTTGGTACAGGAGCATAAGAGGAAAAAGTGGCTAGACCATCTGAAGTGTTGCAACATTGGAACCGATATGAGTAAGCTGTGGGTAATGGTTAAGTCGCTCTGGAACTTGGATGACAGGACCTGGAAAAAAGGATGATAGGACCTCAGTCACTTTTAACGACGTAACGGTGACTGACCTTTTTTCCAGGTCCTGTCATCCAAGTTCCAGAGCGACTTAACCATTACCCACAGCTTACTCATATCGGTTCCAATGTTGCAACACTTCAGATGGTCTAGCCACTTTTCCTCTTATGCTCCTGTAATTAATATTTCCACTTTTCTATTTTTTATGAATTTATTTTGTAGTTTTTCAATATATTAAAAACAATAAAATATTCATAGAAATTCGAAATGGGTAAATATTGTGGATTTTCTTTGATAAAACAATGTAAAATGCCTATCTAAATTATTCCTGAAAATTTCATAGAAATCGGATAATAAATAAATATTTTAGAAATAAAATATGATGAAAATAATATATATTATTCATCGATTTTCTCTATAAATTGCCAGAAAAAATGAAAAAAATTTTAAATGTTGAGAAAAAATTTTTCTTCATTTAAAATAAATTGCCCGTGATTGCCAGTGATATGAAACAGAAATTCTTTTTCAAATATCTTAATATTTGAATATTTTATTCGAATATTTGTGAATATTCGATTTTTCAAATACTCAATTGTGCAATTTTGTACGGACCGCACTGCATAACTATCTATAGGTATTGCTAGGAACACAATTGGAGCGAACGACGAATTTCGCCCTACGCGGCGACAAAATGAGCCGCGAAAATTCGTCGTATGGAACACAATACCGACGAAATTATAAAACAGCTGATGAAGTTGTTTACTTTTTGCTCATTTGTTGACTTCAATGAAAATTATACAAGAACTCATAATTTATAATTTATAATTTCAGTTATGTCCATCTTCTCTATTATAAATTCACTGATATCCATCTTCACTCAGGCGCAAGTGCACAAATAAATAAACAAATTATTTATGTTTTTTTATACGAATAACAGATAGTAGAGTGACCATAACAAATTTTTAAGTAAAAAGTAACTTTATTTACTAAAACACATAAAATTCGTACAAGTATGGCCACCTTGTACTGTTTTGTCGCCGTTCGCCGGCGTATGAAATAGAAATAAAGCTAATTGAGTTCGCGGCGACCGACGAAATTTTCGCCGGCGCCGTAATTGTGTGCACTTCCATATACACATATGGTTTTTATTTTTGACGACGAACATACGCCGCGAAAAAATTCGTCGTTCGCTCCAATTGTGTTCCTAGCATATACGTGTCGTCTTGTTATTCTAGTTTGTTAATTCAGCATTTTCATGTAAGCCATTTATTCACGTTTATTAAGGTTCAATATTTAAAAATTTCATTTATTCACTTTGTATTAATAATATTTGACCTAGTTTTACTTTATGCAAGTAATCAATTATGTTAAGAAATTATTTGTATAAAAGAATGAAAATAATAAAGAGTTAATCAGTTGTCTTCTGTAAAGCGACCATAACCAATTTGGATTTATTTAATAATCATCGTCTTTCCTTCAAGTTTATGTGCTTGTAAGGAGAATTTTAAGGACTGTAAGTGTCAGTTCAAATTTATGTGTTTGAACTGAAGCCCACTAGGTCCGATTTATATTAACGTTTTTTGGTGATCCCGACGTGATCGTTTACACACATCCTTTTGCCCCACAAGTGGTAAAGGATTTTGATCGTAATACGCGTTCGTTAACACACCTCCTTTTACCCCACAAGTGGTAAAGGATTTGAATCGTAATACGCGTTCGTTTACACACATTCTTTTACCCCACAAGTGGTAAAAGAGGTTGATCGTGATACGTGTCGTTAAACACAGCCTTCTGCCCCACAAGTGGTAAAGGACTCGGCAACATATATCCGGTTTTGTCAGACGTGATACACACGCATCTTGTACACAAATTTCTTTGGAAAAAATTTAAATATCAACAATGGCATCGCTTCAAGACCTTATAGTCCAACAAGAAGTAAGGGGCAGTAATTTCGAAAAATTCATAGCGACAATTAGGAAGGCACCGCTTGAAAGAAGAACTGAGGAATTCTACATTGGCAAGCGTAAGGAGCTAGAGCAGCTTTGGCAGACGTTTGAATCGGCAGAAAACCAGATCCGCAAAGATCCATCATTGGCAGAGGATGATCCGTATATAGCGGAGAATCTGCACCAGGCCATAGGCGAAAAGTTCAATGCAACAGTGGACTATATAAAGGCGGAGTTGGAGAAGCTGAAGTCTGTCAAGGTCAATCCAGATAAACCCGCAAAGACAAGATCGCCAGAAAATGATTCAGAACCCCAAGCATCAGCCCAGGTTAAGGAACCTGCGTCGGCTCAAGTTGAGGGACTGGCCCGAAGGGTAAAGGCGAGAATGACAGCCCTCGGTCGCCTTCTGCAGAGTATGGAAAATATAGAAACGGGACAGTCAAAACAAGTCTATGTGATAAAAGAAGAGTCGATTAAAGGGCTGTGGAGTCAAATTACAGGCCTGTACGATGAAATTTGGCAACAGGTCGAGGATCCTTCGAGAATCGGGCTGAATCAAGACAACTACGATAGCCTAGAAGATGCGGTTCAAAGCAACTTGATAAGGCTGGCAATACTGAAAGAGAAATGCGGTGGCAATATAACAAGCACACCTCAATTGGGAACTGACTTGGTAGCACACAGCTCACTTCCACTACCAAAGGTAACATTCCCTCAATTCAATGGGGATTGTCTGAAGTGGCGTCAGTTCTATGAACTCTTTCTGGAGATGGTGGACAAGCAGCATCTTCCTAATATCCAAAAGATGTGGTACTTAAAAACAAATTTGTCGGGCGAAGCTGGAAAACTCATAAGCCACTTAGCCTTGACAGTGGACAACTACGCAACTGCATGGATGATGCTCCAAGAACGGTACAATAACAAACGGGTTCTTGTTTCAACATTGGTAGAACGTATTCTGAACCAGCCAACAGGAACCTCATCAACCGCTTCTATCAAAGCTTTGCATGATACGACGAGGGAATGTATGCTGGCCCTGAACAACCTGGATATTGACACTTCGTCGTGGGACGCGCTATTGATCCAATTGATTACGAATAAGTTGGATCATGCGTTGTACATACGATTTATGCAATCGTTTAAAAGACCGAAGGAGGTCCCTTCCATGAAAGAACTCTTTGCATTTTTGGAATTGCAGTTTGAGTCAATGGAATCGATTGGGAAAGTGGCAACTGCTCACAAAGGTTCAAGCAAAGCTGTTTCGTCCATAACATCAATGGCGAATCACAGTAATTGCAAACTATGCAAAAATGGTCAACATCGTCTTTATCAGTGTAAGCAATTCTTGGCGATGTCGGAATCTGAAAGACTCCAATGGGTACAACAACATAAAATGTGCGTGAACTGTTTTAAGGCTGATCATATAGCGAAACACTGCACATCTGGTATTTGCAAGAAATGTAATAATAAACACAATACGTTGTTACATTTATCAAGGAGATCTCAATCATCATCAACAGGCTTAAATCAAACGTCAACCACAAGTAGCAATCATACACCAGTCAATACTGCTGTAATTTCTTCGGCATCAGCAGAAGATCAGAAGAACGTTATTCTTGCCACTGCGAGAGTTACCATAAAAGCCGCAAATGGTATGTCAGGCGATACGAGTTGTGCTTGATTCCGGTTCACAAGTAAATATTGTTACAGAACGGCTGATTAAAAGGTTATTAATTGCAACAACAGAGACCTCTTTGTCTATTGACGGAGTTGGAAAAATTCAGAAGAAGGCTTATCATCGTGTGAACATGCAAATGTTGTCTAACAATTTTGGATTTTCATCTTATTTGGAAGCATTTGTTTTACCAACGATTATACCTGCACAACCGAATCACGATTTGGACATATCTAACTGGCAGATTCCAACGAACATTAAATTGGCGGATCCAAATTTTAATATTCAAGGAAAAATTGACATCCTACTCGGGGAGCCTAATGCAACCGGGTACAATAAAACTGAATAATAATCAACCTATTCTGCAGAATACTGCGCTTGGCTGGATTGTAGGCGGCTTAATAGAACAATCATCAACGAACGTCACATCAGCAGCGCTAACATGTGCAATTTTCGATAGTGAAACTTCACTGACACAAGCAATTGAGAAGTTATGGAAACTCGAAGAAGGAGCATCAACAGAAAGGGTAATGTCTCCGCTGGAAACCCGGTGCGAGTCTCATTATAATCAGCATGTCCAGACGGATCAGAACGGTCGATTCATTGTTAGTCTTCCTTTCCAAGAATCTCCAACAACATTGGGAAAATCTCATGCGATGGCGTATAACCGGTTCATGAGTCTTGAACGTCGGCTTCTTCAGAAGGATGATATCCGCATGCAATACATCAAGTTCATGCAGGAATATGAAATGCTAGGACACATGCAGAAAATTGACGTGAATATAGTGTCGAACCCTAAATATTTCATTCCGCATCACTGTGTGCTTAAACCAGATAGTACCACGGCAAAATTAAGGGTGGTATTTGATGCATCCGCGAAAACGTCATCGGGTCATTCGTTAAATGACTTAATGTACACAGGACCAACTGTGCAAAGTGAACTGTTCTCTATCCTGCTACGGTTCCGATTACCAAAGTTTGTCTTCACAACTGACATTGAAAAAATGTATAGACAAATCTTAATTCACCCCGATGATCAGAAATATCAACTGATCATTTGGAGGGAAGATCCATCGCACCCAGTTAGCTATTACAAGCTCAATACTGTTACATATGGAACTCGTGCAGCACCGTACTTTGCCACAAAGTTTCAACAGAAAATCGCAGACGACAACTTGGATCGCTATCCCCTTGGTTCAGAAATGCTAAAAGAGAACTTTTATATGGACGATGGTCTCGGTGGTGGTAGCTTAAACATAGCGATGGAGACACAAAAGGAATTGATAATCATTTTGAAAAAGCACGGCTTCAACTTAAGAAAATGGTCGTCAAACAGTCCAAGATTGCTAAAGGATCTCTTCCCGCCGAGGAGGAACCACCACAGTTTACGATGGGTGATGTTGCAAATGTCATCCGTAACGCTAAGTCATCCAAAGCGTTGGGCCCGGACGGAATCTCAATGGTAATGTTGAAGCAGCTGGATACGCCGGGAGTCGAGTACTTAACGAAAGTTCTCAATTTGTCGCTAGCCACCCACATAGTGCCCGAAACCTGGATAGAGATCGTAACGTATGCGGATGATTGTACGATCATTGCGTCAGGCCCGGTGGTCGATGACATATGTGAAAGGCTGAACCCCTATCTCGAACCTTGAACCTCTTTGTTGATCTCTTATAACGCGATAGGTCGATCTGTGGTCAGCTATGCGGCAGGGTGCCTTCTCATGACACCAGTGGACCATCTACATGAGGAGGCGAAAGTCCTTCCCGTACGTAGGTTATTAGCAATTATAAAATACACAGCCAAACCTACCCAACTCACTCCAGAAGATCTCTGGCTACAGCCCATTAAAGTAGCCGAATTTCTAAACCTGGAGCTGGAGCCAGATTAGCAAAACGCAAACACATGCATGTACTACTACTACAACAACAATAACAACCGGAAGTGTTTCAAATTTGGTATTCGAAGTTCAAAATGAATACTACAGCCTAACACAGAAAATTGTCTGTGCAGGTCCACGTCTTCATATAGCCCCCATATAACGGTACCTCCCGGAATTATTTCAAATTTGGTATTTGAAGTTCGTAATGGATACTACAGCCTGTGACAGAAAATTGTCTGCGCAGGTCCACGTTTTCATATAGCCCCAAATAACGGTACCTCCGAATATTCTGTATTTTGATGATTTTTTCGACATTATTCACCGGAGTAGTTTCAAATTACGTATTTATAGTTCGTAATGGGAACTACAGTCTGTGACAGAAAATTGTGTATGCAGGTCCAGGTCTTCGTATAGGCCCCGTATATCAGTACCTCCCTATATTCGGTATTTTGACGATTTTAGGTACAATACTCACCGAAATTGTTTGAGATGTCGTATTTGAAGTTCGTAATGGATGCTACAGCCTGTGACAGAAAATTGTCTATGCAGGTCCAGGTCTTCGTATAGCTCCGTTATAACGGTACCTCTCTATATAGGATATTTTGATGCTTTAAGTTCATTATTCACCGTTTATTTCAAGTTTTAAATTTGAATATGGTAATGGCTTATGGCAAACAAAGCATATGTAGGTTCACGTCGTAGAGACCCCAATGTAACGGCTTTATTCGATATTTTTAAAATTTTAACAGAATTTTTAACGGATTTCATTTTTTGAAAATTTCCAAATTCGTTCCAAATGGTGGAGGGTATTCAACTGCTGCTTTTTAACTTGTTATACCCTCCACCATACATAGTATGGAGGGTATATTAAGTTCGTCATTCCGTTTGTAACTCATCGAAATAATCATTTTAGACCCAACAAAGTATATATATTCTTGATCAGCGTAAAATTCTAAGACGATTTAGCCCTGTCCGTCCGTCCGTCTGTTGTAATCACGCTATAGTCTAAACGAATTGAGATAGGAAGCTAAAATTTTGCACAGATATCTCTTTTGTCTGCAGGCAGGTCAAGCTCGAAGATGGGCTATATCGGTCCACGATATCGTATAGCCCCCATACAAAGGTACCCCCCAATATTCGGCATTTTGATGATTTTACTCACATTTTTCAACGGAATTGTCTGAAAATCCACACAAGGAGTTCCTTGTGAGTACTTTATCCCCTGAAAAAGAATTATCTATATAGGTCCACGATATCGAATAGCCCCCATACAACGGTACCCCCGATATTCGGTATTTTGATGATTTTAGCGACATTTTTCAATTGAATTGTCTGAAATTCCACACCAGGAGTTCTTTGTGAGTACTTTACTCCCTAAAATTTATAATTTATTTTCATTTCTTACAGTAAAATTTTCATACATATTCCTCCATAGCTACATGTGTGTATAAAAATATGTTAATACCGAAATATACATATTAAATGATAATATACAGTGCGGGCAATATTATTGACACAAGTTTCTCTTAAAAACAATTTATGAAAAATTCCGATTTTTTTCATAATAATATCTTATCTATATATATAAAAAACGGCTGGACCTATTTGCATAATTTTTTGTACAAACGTTTGTCATACCCCGAATTAGGTTTTTAAAGAAAAAAATATTGACCACGCCTCCTTTTACGCCCACTATTTCGATTTATCTAAAATCCTTATATTTCCCAAATAAACAAGATATTGGTTTAAAAATTATTACAAGAGATACTGTTGACCTTCCCTCCAACCCTAAGTATTTGTTTGGGGGCTGAGGAACTGACCACGCATACTTTTTAATCTATCTATACATCTATATAGTATATAAATGAAAGTTGTGTTAGTTACTACGGTTATACCTTAAGAACCGCTGAACTGATTTTAATGATTCATACAAATTCGGAATTGTCTCTTATCCGAAAAGGATAATATCCAAAAAATCGCGTAAAAATGTGATATGTTAATATTTACATTTTGACTTTTGAAATGTACAATAGTAATGTTTTATTTTGCATTTTTTCCATTTTGACTTTTTTTTTTCTAAAGTACATTTGTAGATTTTTTTTATATTTTAGTTTTGAATTCGAATATTAATACCAATTTATTTAATTGACTTGATTTCTTGAGAACTGAAATTGATGGAATTATGTATTGGCGAAATGGAATAGATAATATCGAAATAATTTAACGCGGTCACACCAAAGTTAAAAGATAATTACTTTTTCAAAATCGCTAAAAAATCACGAAAAAGAGATCTTATTGCAACAATTCTCAAAACGGGAAAATATCGAAATAAAATTCCAATGAAATTGAATTTTAAAATAAAAGTACATTCTATTGACAAACTTTATAAGGATCTTTAAACAGTTGCTGTAAAAAATTAGCGAACAAGTTGAAGATATTTTCAATTTGTTATTCTTCTTTTGTCAATTTTTTTCAATTTGTAATATCGTATTGAATTCAGTGGATTATTTGTGAACAAAATAAAGAATAATTTTTCACTATATAAAATTTTTCACTAAAAAAATGAAATAAGTGTGAAATACGATGGTAACTGACATCTACCTTTCAACTCCAGGGCCTACACATGGTACAATGAAGAGAAGGTAGGTCAACTTTGAAAAAATTGCAAGTATAGAGGTTTACCTGTTTGGCTTGTAATGTCAGAATTAGTATCAAAACAATAAAAAATCAAACAACTTGTTGCATTTATTTTGAATAAATAATTGAAAACCGCGATAACTGAATGAAAGGTCAACACTTCTTTTCAAAATCATGTACTATATATCTCTAAAGGGTTATTTCGCTACAAAAACTCTAGATTTTGTCGATGCATACGTGGAAATAAACATTTTGAAAACACCCGAATTTGAATGTTTTCTGAATATTTTTTTTGTTATTGTAAAGAAAACACATACATAAACAAATAAAGATGACATATTAAGCCAAGAAAATAAAAAAATTGAAATCATATGGTATCATAGCCCTACCTTGACATCATTGTACCATGGGCCTACATCGTGCTTCAGCTGGAAGATGCGCAGACATTTAATCAAACAAAAATGACCGAAAAAGACTAATGGGGCTTATTTCAAAGCGTGACCCTACTTCTTTCATGTGACAATAATTCGTCCAATGAGAGCTCAAAATGCAAAAATTTTTGGGAGTACAATCAGTAAAATACCAAATATAAAGGGTGCAAAATAGTAGAGCGAATGGGACTTTTAAGAAAAAAAGGATTTCTATCCTTCCAAAAATTCTTCCTGAACATTTAAGATACCTTAAATCGCTTTTGCAGGTCATGATATCGATCATAATAACAATCGTATGATTTAAGCCATTTTTGGAGTCTTCGCCACTTTCTTCTATTTTTGGCCCTTATTTGGCATTTTTGTTTCGAAGGGGGTAGAGAACCTCTTCGCATAAAATTTTCGGAGTAGGGCCCATATTGGTCTTGACCACTAAAAAATTGTATTTATGCTACCCTGGTGTAAGGAACCATCGTACAGATAATTGCCACATAGAAATTTATTCATGTAAAGTCCCTACATTGGAGTATCCCCAAATCCACTTTCACACCACTTTCAGAAAAGAAACATTTGTATTCTATTAAATTTGTAACCCCCAAGAGAATATTGGTTGGGAACGTAGATTTGGGATATACATCTATATGAAATAAATTGTGAAAACATGAACAAATTACAAATATAAGAAGTAGCACGGGACCGAATATTTGTGGAATCGTCATTGAATTATACTATGATGAAAAATATGGACTATATGGGGTCTCCAATTTACAATTTAAATGACAAATAAAATTAGTTCCCATATTACGGTAATGGGTGTAAAATAGTAATTATATTTGACTATTCTGAAATCAGTATGACCTCAATTATGAGGTGGATAAAACTATTTTTACTTATTTAAATCACGTGATTTTTTCAGTTTGACATGCTATGTTGTTCTGCTATATTTTCGATTTGGCCTCTATTTGTCATCTTGGATTATAAGGGGTGAAGAAAGTTTTCAATGTAGGTCGATGTTTCGCATTTTACCATATTTCAAAGGATTCGGCTAAAAATGTGTATTTGGGGGTGAAAATCTTACACAAAAATTTCAACATATCTACAAATTTTAGAATTTTCTCCATGTAATAGTACCCCCTCAAGTCCACCTTTTGCCGGACAAACAGACCGACATGGTTAGGGGGACTTATGAGGACTCTAATGCACAATCTGAGGAGCTAATGGGTTTAAAAAAGTAATTAACTTTGGCTATTCTTAAATCAATTAGCCCTCAATTATGAGGTGCACAACGTACAGTAAATTCCAAATTACTGCTCATTTGACTAAAAATTAAAAACAAATCGACCAGTACGTGAACATTTATAACATTCATATTTTTGAATAATTATGCTTTGACAAATATGCATAATAGACAAAAAG